ATTTTTTTCTGGCATAACTGATATGCGAGTTCATTTTATGGTCCGTTCCGAGAAGCATTGGACTCAAATCCACGTTTTGGAGATAAAAAAACGTATGAATTCATTTACCTGTATGGTATTTGTGTCTTGTCATGGGAATTCTTCGTTGCTCACATTTGATTGTTAATCTCGGTTGTTAAACAACAGGTATCAGATGAACCCAGCAAACTACAGAGAGGCATTAGTTGAGGCTGAAGGAGCTGATATTCTTTTGGTGAGTATGGCTCTTTTTAGACCTTTGAGCTCTTCTGCCTAAAGGCAAAACTCCTTTCATGCGGAAGTCTTCTAATTGTATCACAGGTGAAACCTGGTCTTCCTTATTTGGATATCATAAGACTTCTCGGAGATCATTCTCCTTTGCCTATTGCTGCATACCAGGTATTCTCTTCAACTTTTCACGGGTGTGCTGCATTAACTAATATTCCTGTCATTGTTTTCATTCATGACTTAGAACCTTTTCTTTGATATGATTTCTCCATAATCATCAAAAGTCAAAAGTAAACATTGGGAAACATTCATATAGCCAATAGCGCTTTCAACAACTCCTGCACCAGGTCCTTGGCTTGCGGAATTTCTATAAATTTTTTCTTTTTTCCTTTACAAGATCAGAGGAATTGGTTTTTAACTACAGTGCCTGATTCATGCTCATAGGGAATGTGTGTAGTTTACACTTCATAGGATGCAGGATGAAGAAAGAGAGAATGGCATGAGAAAAGTAAAAAAGGGAAAAAACAGTAAAATGAACACCATTCTTGTACAATGTACTCAAGATTATGTCTTTATTAGCAATTAAATTTTCCACAATTTGCTTCGAATATGGTGTGTGGTTGTGGTGGATGTTCTTTAAGATGGTTCCCTTCTTCTAATTAAATATACACAACACATATCTACATGTTTGCCTATATGCAGCATTGCAAGGAATGGGATTTGTGATTTGCATTTCATAACTTAGCTATGGGGAAAATGAATAGGAAAAGAAAAGAAAAGGTGGCCTGCTTCTAGTTATATATACAGTGACACATATCTACATGTTTGCCTATATGTTGTACTGCAAGGAATGGGACTTATTGCATTTCAAAACTTAGCTATGATGAAAATGAATAGGAAAAGAAATGAAAAGATGGCCTGCTTTTAGTCATACATACACAGACACACATCTACATGTTTGCCTCTATGTTGCATTGCAAGGAATGAGACTTATGATTTGCATTTCAAAACTTAGCTATTAGGAAAATGAATAGGAAAAGAAAACAAAAGGTGGCCAGCTCTTATCTGCCTTGACATTTTTCTTGACATTCTTATTTTCCTTTCTAAATGGAAAATTTTTATAATGCATCAAAGTATAAATTTCTAGCAGACTTGGTCAAACACAAATTTGTTCTGGAAATGTACTTTCTTTTTCTGTTTTCTCCTAAAATGCTTACTTTCAGTTTCCTGTTCTCTATCAATTTTTTATTTTTATTAGTTTTCTGGCACTAATGTCACATGTGAATTTATAAATTGAAATTTGAAAAATCGAACTCGAATCAACTCAATTTTGAAAAATTTTAAACATTTCAACCTCAAATTGAATATAACATAAATTCGTTTCTCATTTTACATTTTAATTTAATTGAAAAGATAACATATGTAATCCGTGTTATTATAACAATGAACTAACTTACTTCATTCAAATTAATTTAAAAAGCAAACAACCTAAAAGTAGTTTAAAGCCCGAAATGATTATATTATAATTACAATATTGATATTATGAAATATTATATAATTAAAATCTTCCCATTGACTATTGTAATCTATAGAAAATGTTTACTTGAGAGAATTTTTTTTAATAATTCTAATAATTAGATTTTATTTACACATTTTCAAGATTTAATGGATATAATTACAATAAAATAAAAGTTCATAATGTTATATTCATGTAATAAAAAATCAAAAAGTTATTTTTAACTTTTTAAAAATTAAGGGTTTATTTAGGTAGCATCCCAACGAATAAATAAAAACGAAGAACAAAAAGAAATTAAATGTACTTGGTTTATGCACAAGGATTTATGTATACGAGCATAATGTGAAAAAAAAAAAAAAAAGATTGTTTAATGGCCCACTAATTAGTATCAACTTAATTTTGGTGAGGTGCAATTAGAGGTAGAGGTAGTTAGTACAAAATTATTACTTAAATTCTATAAAAAATAATGTTTGTCAGATAATGTTATTTAATTATCAAGAAACAATATTATCAGCACATGAATTTGAGATGTGGTGTTCAAACCGTTTACTAATGTTATTCAATATGCTTCTTTATATTCTTAATTCTCCAAGATTAATAGTATATTTTTATTTGGATCTAAGTTTCTACGATTGATAGTGTAAAAAAAGTACCATGAAAAGAGCAATGTTCCTTTTTATTTTTTGGGTTATTGTTATTTGTTTCTTGTATTTTAATTTTAATCACAGTAGTTGTGTTTTATTAGGAATCCTAAAATAATGAAAATTTAATTAATATAATTAATATTATTATGAGTCTCAAAAAATTAAAATTAATAAAAATTAAATTAAACATTTGAAATGATAAATTTATTATTTTTATAACAGTATTTATGTTGATCACTTTAACACATTTGAGTTAATATTTTTATATATAAAAGATATAATAAAAAATATTTTTAATTTTATATTGTCTAGGTTTCTGGGGAATACTCATGATCAAGGCTGGTGGCGTTCTCAAAATGATTGATGAAGAAAGGGTTATGATGGAATCCTTGATGTGCCTCCGTCGGGCTGGTGCTGACATCATCCTTACATATTTTGCTCTACAAGCTGCTAGATGTTTATGTGGTGAGAAGAGGTGAGCTTGGTTTGGTTTTTTTTATTGGGCTTTGGCTGATTGTCCATAAAAGCTTGAGGTATTAAATCTTCTATTTGAGAGTGCGAGACGTTAGAATGAGAGTGAGTTGTTATAGAATGTTTGATTTTCATAATTGTGAAACAATGTTCAACTGTTGTCATTCAAAATTGGGTGTATAGGGCCTCGTTATTGCAACTTAATGCTCTCGACAGAGAAATTGAATGCAGAGTGCTATTACTTGAGACAGTATATTGTAACAACAACTACAATCTAAGAGCAGAGGAGCTTCCCCTGCCCAATTCTTTACATTGAAAAAAGGGGAAAATCTTTACGCTTTCCACACCCTAACAGGGCAAAAATTACAAGAGCACATCACTCCAAATAATCTGTGCCCAGTTGAGTTACGATATCCCAGTTTAGGGGTGGATAAACCAGAGATAGCCTACTCTTTTTAACCATGCTCGACGAGGTATCTTTCTGCAATTGTGGCATGAACTGCTGCACCAATGGGAAGAACATCTTCATCGATCATAAAATATGGCGAGTGACCTGTGTGTATAGATCCCAAGGTCTCGTTCCTTACGCCAATGTAGAAGAAAGCTGCCGGAACCACCTCTGAATAAAAAGAGAAGTCTTCGGCACCCATCATTGGAGGGACCACCCTGAAACTTGGTGGTCCTAGCAAATCAGTAGCCACCTTCTTCACATGCTCATACATACGGTCATCATTCACGGTTGGAGGATAGATTGTTGATTCCTTTTCGAAGAAGTCGACTGTTGCCGAACATCTGAAAACACTGGCCTGCTCCACGATCACCTGTGTCCCTTGTCAAAGTATGTTAGAAGGGGAAAAGCAGGCTTGGATTAGGATTAGAATCTAAAGTGATAAGCATGACAGAGTACAGACCTCTTCAATTCTTTGCAGAAGGTTGTAAAAGCTGGCATTGGAGAAGGCCCTGAAGGTACCTCCAATTACCACCGTCTCAGGGATCATATCAAGATTATTACCGCCATTGAACGAGGTGACAGACACAACCTGCATTGTAAGATGAAACTCGAGACTTAGAAATACTGTAAAAAAAGATCAAGAGATATCAAAATGTTGAAAGATAAATATGGGTGGCGAAATTTACAAAACAAACACAAACCTGGGAGTCCAATGGATTTGATTCGCGAGAAACAATTCCCTGTAAGCTAATTACAGCAGCTGAAGCTGCCAAGATAGGGTCAACTGAGTGGTGTGGGTTCCCGGCAAGGCCTTTTCTTCCACTGATAACAGCTCTAAAGAAGCCACAACCGGCAAGCAGAGGACCAGGCCTTGAGCCAATAATAGCCGTGGGGTGTTCATGAGATACATGGACTGCAAAAATGGCCTCTACGTTCTCCAATGCGTCATCTCCAATCATCCGCTTAGCACCATTTCCTGCTTCCTCAGCTGGCTGAAAGAGCAGTATAACAGTTCCCTGTGACAACCAAAGGATTTAATCCGTCAGGGTAACATGCTAATTGCAAAATCACACATATGTTCTTGCTTTAAGGGTAATACACACTGGGCAGTCCTTAAAAATTTTTTGGTACAAAAAGCTGACAAAAATAGAGAGAATATTACATGTAGATTTGAATTTTTAATTTTTTAAATATTATTTTTAAAATAATTATATGAATTAATTTAAATAAATATTGACATCATCAGAACTGAATGCAATATAGCCTAGGGTGAGTTTCCGTAAAAAATTAGAAATAGGGTGTTGGAAAGAATTCTAGTAGATAGCAAGCACGACTCGTGTTAAAAAAAAAACGTAAAAATAAAGAGCAAGCATGCCTAAATAAACATGAAGGGTCACCCTAAAGACAAAATAAAATTAAAAACAAAAAAATTGCAGTCAGCAGCAGATATTTTTTATGGTGATTTCCAACGGCTTAAAATAAATAAATTATTCCTACTTTGTCTCATTCCTAAACCATCTCTAGATCAAACAAATTGTCCTTGGGAAATGCGTACGTACATATATTATTTAACCCTTTACTTTAATTCGTTTTTGTATACGAGTAATATTCATCTATATAATAGTTAAATTTTCAAATATATTATTAATTTCAGTTTTATAATGTGCAATTTTGTTCTGATCACATGTGCTTTGATAGAAGAATCAGAAAACAGTAAATATTTTTTTTTTATAAATAAGAAGTGAGGACAACTTCAACATTATTTAACAATCAAATTAGGTTTATTTCACTGTCAAGGGCCTACAAAATTTGAATTCCAACCAATTTTGTTCACTTTGGACTATATCATAATCAAGACCTTCTTTTTTAAGAAGTTAACCATGGTTGAAGGAATTTTTTTGTATAAAGGAGGTCAATGTTTAAAAATTAAAAAAAAATTATAAATATTAAATTTTAAAATATAAATCAATCAAATATTATCTCTTAAAAATAATTTTATATATCAAATAAAATTCAAGAAAATTCTTTTTACTATGCAAGAAAATGTGTGGAGTAAATTATTCTTCTTCAACCGTACTTTTTTGTTTTAGATTCTTCCAATAAATAAAGCTACAGGTAGAAGGCAAAGTAAACTAGGCTTTTCATTTCTTTAAGCAAAAGATTCTTGTTAACCCACCCAAGGGTATCCAAACAAGACAAATTAATTAATGCAATTTCACAATATTCCTAGCTAGGGTCAAATGCTCATGCAATTATATTAAATGCCTAAGCACCATACCAAAGATTAGTTACACTAATTAAGCAACAAATGTTTTATAGCACTTCATCTTTTTGCCTTTTGGGGAACAATTTTGCCTTTTCTTAACCTCTAAAGGTTCACAAGTTAGTGATGGAAGAAAAATGCATTAGCCTAGTGGCCTAAGTGTTCCAAAAAGATGAACTAAAAGGGTCATTAATTTTCCCTAGAAAAATAAAAAAGAAAAATTGCACTGTGGATAACTGTGCTAGATCTAAACAATTAAAACATATAAAGAGGAAACAAAATTTAAAAATAACACAAATCCTTGCTTGTCCGCATATATACATCAAACTCAAACCAAGTAAATGACAACCCATGATGCGTTAATATAATATAATCTGATATGACTGATGAACGAAACAGATTAGAGGTCACATCTAAACTCAACAAGGAATCTGAAAGCCTATCCCATTAACTTTTGTAAATTAATGATGCCCATACAATGTGATAAATTGAAAGGTTTGTATCAAGCTTTAGATTTGTATTAAGTGAAATGAACTGACAAAATGGAAATCTTAAGCAGAAATATTTTGCAAAACATTTAGTATTAGATTAGCAGTTCCACAATTCAACATCTACAGAAACCAGCGATTCAAGGTTCTCAGTTGCTTATCATCCATGTCTTTGTCTTGGGTAAAAGAAAATATGGGGGGCATTCTCAAAATTTAACACCCTTTAATAAAAGTAGACGAACAGGCTGAATAAGAATTGGATCCAAATCTAGCAATGGGGGACCTTGACATGTTATCAGAAAAGGGATAAATTTCTTTTCCGACTGGATGTGAAAAATCATATGCTTGATTTTTCAAATGATGGGCATAAAAATGTAGAAACAATTAGAAGTCATGACAGACGGAAGCGAAAAGAAGAAAAATGTGAATCAGCGAAATAGCAATGAGGAAGACATGGCTGACAGCTAAAGTAGAGGACAAATTAAGGTGTGTCAGAATTCATTCCGAGTACAGCAAAACAAAAGACTATCACAGCTATTTATAGCTCACTTGGCCCAGGAGGGGTAGCTAGGAAGCCAGTAATCCTTTCATTTTCTGTGAAGCAATGTTGTCCACTCAAAATAAATGCCCTCGTAAAAAGCGGCATTCCCATTTCCCACCAACAAACACTAAATTTCTTGGCTATGCCAACAAGATTTACAATGGAATGATGCATCAATTGCATAAGGGGGAATTTAAAATGAAACAAGGGTGCGTCCATGCCATGAAATGATTTTACTATTAAGAATTGAATTTGGACATAAAACAAGGTAGATGAGACTAGGGGTAATTTTAGAGAAGGTGTAGAGTTAAAAAAAACAAAAAAGCAAACCTTCAAAAGGTGTTCTCGATTCTTCAATATTTTGGCAGCACCAACGAGCATTGCCACATGCGCATCGTGCCCACAAGCATGCATTTTTCCTGGCACTTTGCTTTTATGCTCCCATTCTACAGCTTCCTAAAATAAATTACCCCACCATAAGTGAAAAAAAAAAAACAATAAACCATGCCATGATATTATATGCAAACTCATAAAGTAAAGTAACTTTCATTAAGATATGATATAAATTTAATTTAATCTTCGTCCCAATAGTCGAAAATTCTATATGTATAGTGCCGAATTTATTCTAAAGTCTTTTATTTTTATGTAAGGACAACTTTGATCTCGAAAATTGAACATTCTATTATTTGTCTTGCTTAAATGAAAGTACACTTTTTTATAATATTCTGCATTATTATTTTATCCATGACATCAAATGCATTGACCTTACAACAATAATTTCATCTGTCTGATACAAAATTCTCCAAATCAACGACAAAAAAGAATATCTTAAATTTTCTTTTCTCAATACAAACCCTAATATTCTCATCTTGATTTCAAATCATTTCATGGTTCAGTTCCACTCCTTTAAATTACCCTGGAAAAGTAGTTGACAACAACTTTGTAACATAAAATCAAACCTCAACATTTCCGAACTTCCAAAATCCAAAAGATTGTCAACAAATGAAATCCAATGTTCATGAACCACCTACCCCTTTTCTTCTTACCTACAAAATTACCAACTACCTAGTACCTTAACATATGTACATATAAAGCATGTGCATATACTTTTTGAAGTATATGAAAAGTATATGCAGGCATATTTACATACGTGTGCATATATATAGACACGTATATAGCTATAAATATACGTATTTGTATACATATTTAATTAAAAAAAAGAAAAAAAAAACTATACCTGAATAGGGAGAGCATCCATGTCAGCTCGTATGGCAACAAAGGGCGGGCCACCGGTTCCAATCCAAGCCCGAATACCCGTTTTCGCCAAAGGGTACCTATATTCAATCTCCATCCGATCCAACTCGGCTCGAACCAGCTTACTCGTTTCATACTCTTCAAAAGCTAGCTCGGGGTTCTCATGTATCTTCCGCCTCAACCCTCTAATCCACTCTACGTTCTCCGGCTTCCGGGCCAGACCCAACACCGCCTCGGAGCAGCTCACGTCCCATACCTCGCAGCTGGAAGAACCACGTGACGCAGACGACGGTGTTTGGTTCTTACCAGGGTTTAAAGAAGCCTTTGGGTTGATGGAATTTATGGTGTCGAAAAAAGTGGAGTATTCATTATCAGACGAAGACGAAGAAGCAGTTATAGAGTTAACAAAAACAAGAAAATCATCAGCAAAAAAGGTTATAAAGATTAAGATTAAAAATAAAACATATGAATTTAGAGAATTCATGTTTGGAGAGAGAGAAAAAGAAAGGAATTGACAGAGAGAGAAATGGAGAGTAAGTTTTTTAAAGAGATGAGAGGAGAAGAAGGCAAGAAAAAAAGAGAGGAAAGAGAGAATTAGATCACGTGGTGATAAGGACAGGGAATTAGTCACGTGGGAGAATATGGATGTCAGGAAAGAAAAAAAAATAGTGATTCAAGAGTTTGGTTGATTAAGGCGTCGAAACACAGCAGTTCTTGGGCCCACCACATTGGGTAGCGGTTTTCCATGAGACAGATTGACACACTCCTTTGATGCTGATTTTTTTTTTCCTTTTCTTTTTTATCCTTTATATTAAAAAAATATTACACCAATTTAATTTAATTTATTTTATATTAATATGGATGTTTAAAGAATGATTAACGTTTTGAAAAGTCTGTTTAAGGATTTTAAAGTGGGTAGTCTTTACAAAAAAATTTGGATAATTTCGTCAATTTGCAAAAGTTGGTCTTTCATTATTGTCTTGGTTTGTTTTTAGTTTCTGGTGTGACACGACTTAGCATTAGCTATTGAGAATTTATTTATTTTTTAATATCATCTTTATTTTTTTATAATACATTGATTTGATCATTTATGTATTTATATTTTATTAAATATATATAATATAAAAATTATTATATTATAATTTATGTCAATTAAATAAAATATATTTTTTTAATTTGTAAAATTTATTATTTATATATAATTTATATTAAAATTTTAAATTATATTATTTTTATATATTTTTTATATTTTATGTCATATTTAAAATTATCGTTGGTAAAATAAGATAAAAATTTTATATTTTAAATTATTATGCATTTAGAAAATGAAAAAAAAAAAAAGTGGGATCTATACTCTCTGATTGCCCCTTCGGCTAATCAATAATTTGGCCATCGTGATGACGTTGATAAGCATTTAAGCATGATGTATCAAATTCTTATTTAAATTTGCTTTAATTTTTTATAAGTTTATCTCCTTAATTATAGTTTGAGTAAAGATAATCAACTAAAACCTCATTTTTAAAGAAAAAAAAAATATAATCTCACAATTTAAAAATCTAAGGAGGAAAGCATGTTAGGATATCAAACTTTGAACTTCAATTGTGAAAAAAAAAAAAATTGTCATATATAGAGAGAGAGATAATTCTAACAATATTTATCATAAACGAAAAGAATTATTAGGATACCTAACTTTTTAAAGTTTATCATGAAATAAATGTGAGCTCAAAACCTTAACTAATAATGATAATTTTATATTTTTTTATAAAAAAAGGGTATTATTGAATTATATATGTTAATAAATTTATATATATTTTGTCAGTATATAAATTTTATATATTGACAGTAAATTAGATAATATCATTTCGTTAATGAGATGAATTAGCTGATACGAAATTTATTGATAAATAAATTTTTTTAAAAAAATTAATTTTTTGTATATTTATTTTAAGAATTGATGAAATAACATCATATGATTTATTGATAATATGTAAAATTTATATAGTAAATTAGATAATATCATTTTGTCAATGAGATGAATTAGATGATAATAAATTTATTGATAAATAATTTTTTTTTTAAAAATTAAAATTTTTTATATTTATTTTAAGAATTGATGAAATAATATCATATGATTTACTAATAATCTATAAAATCTATACGCCTATAGCAAATCAAATATAAATTGCCTTTGCAAATTGCTCAAATTGAGGTTCGAAGGGGTGAAAATGTAAATAAGAGTCCTTATAGGTTACATTATTTTAAAGACAAATCAAAAATTAAAATCTTTCATAACAAATTAATTAAATTATTGAGGACATTTAATCTACTTAGACTTCATTTGATAGTACAATGGGGTTTTCAGACCATACTGAAATTGTAATTGAGAGCTAAATCTGCCCTGATCCCAGAGGACACCTGATGATATGATTCCAACTGAAATTTGGGTGAAATGGGAAGGTCTCCCACGGCATTGCCTTGTCTTGCTGAATAGGGCCTTAATTTATAATTTTGCTTACTCATGGGACCATGCATGATTTAATTATTTTTATGCTTCATTTAAATGTACGATAAAAAGGGAGTTTTATCGCGTTAGACGTCATTTTATGACTGGATCCATAATTTTAGAAGATGAAAAATTAAATTGGGTATGAGATTGAGAAGTAGATTTGGAGTGCATGAGGCTGGTGGGATGAAAGAAATGTTTGTGTCATATTCATTTATATCTAATATGGGTGAGATTCATCAAATTCACATCATCCAAATGACTTTTTTTTTAATGATAAATTTTATGCAAAAACGAAAGAGATGGATATGCAAACGTAATCCCATTAAAAGCATTCAAACAAAAAAAAAAAAATCCCAATTAAAGGCTATTATTGCACCTGAAAATCAAAACGGATTTGATTGGCACAACACAAAAAATCACGAACAAAGCTTGACGTAAATGTACATAACATTTGAAATTTCACTTCTATCCTTCACATAATTAATTTTCTTAACTACAAAATACATATACAATCAAGTTTGGACAACATTTTCATAATGAGCCAAAAAAATATATATATACTATATATTTCTTGAAAATATTATCTTCAGTTACACAATAAAAACAAATATTTTTAATCTCTTAACCAAAATCTCACTTTGTATATATTATTAAAGATGTCAATTTTATGCATATCTAATGAAAAATATGATTTTTTATCTGAATGGGGATGAGGTTGGATATTACATTCTAAAAATGAGATTGGGATGAATATGATTTTAAATTTTTATTGGGTATAAAGATGAGAACGAATAATATAATACCGGTTTCATTCATATATCCTACATGTATATTTATATATATTTAGTAAATAAATTTTTTTATTAAATAATATAAATTATTATTTTAAATTAATTAAAATTAATATATTTTTTAAATATATTAATATATATTTATAAAATATTACCTACAAAATAAAAATTAAAAAAAATAAATTTAAAGAACTCATTACGTATGGATACAAAAATGAGTATAATATAAAAATCTGAAAATGGGGATGAGGAATATTTCACTCTCATCATACTTTACCCACTGATATCTCAATAAATTATTTTGTGGTACAACAAAATCCCAATATATTTAATTTATTATTGAAAATATTAGAAAAACCAATATAATTAATTACATGGTGATGAGTAGGCATAGAACAAAAGATTTTTCTAATTTCAAACAAAAAGGGTAACTGTCATTAATATATAATATATTTTTTCTGTGGGAAAGACACCTTCTCAAGGCATCCTCCATGCCTTTTAAAGAAAGGATTCTTTTTCTTTTAGCTAGATATAGCCCCAAAAAAATGTCTCTAATGTAAAAAAGTGTAAGGCCTTAAAAATGTCTCAAATAAAGGCTAAGAGCAACATCTAGGGAAATCATTTAATGTAAAATAAAAGACAAAAAAAAAAAAACCATAAACTTTTGAATTTTCCTTTTGTTTAGAAATTGGATGATGCCGACGCATTTCAAACATTTGAAAATTAGGTATCCAAGCATGTGTTTAACGTTCCATAAAAAATAATTAAAATGTCATATTCGTGATAACATTATTAATGCACGAACTGTGTTTTTTGGCGCTTCATTACTAATGGCTTACGTACCCAAAGAAAAATCTTTATATTAAGATTTGTATAATTTCTTAAGGGTGGACTGGATTTAGTGCCTGCCGTCTAATAATTGTTGAACTTTTTTAGTTTATCAACAATTGGTTTCAATTGTTGTTTGGGACTTTGACAGAGTCACGAAAAGACGTTATTTAGCAGCCAATGGTCCAAATACGGCTGCTGCAGCACACGCAATCGAAATTAGGCCTACATTTCTAGACTCGTGTAAAAGTTAAAAAACCATTGTCCAAAAAATTCTTACAGTTAAAATATTGGGAACCAAGCAAAGAGATTTTATTCCTTAAACCAAGCGAATTGAATAACAAAAATGGATTGTACTTTGATTTTTTAACCTTTTTTATATAAAACTGAAGACATTGTACAAGGGTTTGTTGACGCTGAGACGGTGGACAAGGTTGACACTTCTCCAATCTCTCCATCGCGTCAACTTTTTCACATTTTCAAAAAGCCAGATATGCTAAGTTGTCTTCTTTCCAATTTTGATTTTGTTTTTATTTTAATTGTTTCCGCCCCCCACCCTCCCCCACCCCCCACCCCCCCGCCTCCATCTCTTTTCACTCTTACAATTTTTTTCTCACTGATTCTAGCTACATACATATTTCATTGACATCTCAAATCTAAGTATATACTAAATTTGTAAGATCGTTCATTTCTATCTAATTAATTTTGCATTAGCCAATGAGACTTTGATTTAGTGACAAAAAAAAGTTTTTAAAATTTTGAAATCTTAAATTCACGTTTTATTATATGTAGATTTTGTTGCTTAGTTAATATATATTATATTAGTTAATTATATAATAATATAATTGGATTATGATATAATAATGAATTATTTAGTTAATTATATAAATATAATATTTTATTATTAATTTAATTTAAAAGAAGTAATTTTGGATTAAAATTAATGATTTTTAGTTAACAATAATCTCAAATACATGATTTTTTTTTGGAGTACAACACATCTTCTTTAATTTGAAAAATTACTATATATATACACCCCAAATTTTATTTAATTACCGAAGAAGAAAATAGTGATATTTTAACTAATATAAGTCGAGAAAACTTTTTCCATTCGTCAGGATTTTTGGGTTTTAGATATTTTCTTTTTAGATCAATTCAAATGAATTTATTCATATCAAATTTAATAAATTTATAATAAATTCGAATTCAAACAATAAAAAAATTTTTCTTTACTACTTGAATCAACCATTCATCCATACTCAAAAATCCTTTTTTTCTCTCTTTATTTTCCCTTTGTGTTCCCCTTGGGCCTTACAAAATCGTAGAAACTTCTCTTTATTTTTTATTAATATAATTGGGTTTCATATATTGTCAAGAGTCCTACCATTTTTTTGGATGAAAAACATTATTTTTTATAAATGATGAAAAAATTCTAAAGCGATATGAGAATGCGACTTACCTCCAAATTTAACTATTTATTTACCTTGATCAGGATAACAAATTATTGATTGTAGTTTTCAAAAACTCTCCT